AGCGCTGCTCTAGGGAAGGTGGCAGCACCGACCCTCATCGTGCCGCGAGGAGGACACCTTGAGGAAAGGGAGGGACACCTGGCTAAGGAAGCTACAAGAACGGATGTATCCTGGCTCCAAAATAAGACACCAGACCAGCAGCAAGAGAAGTTTGCTCCAAAGCTCGACTATGAAAGAGCACCCAACGTACAGGCAGCCTCACATCTCCTCCAGCAGCAAGAGCTTCTTATAATTTCTAGAACAACAGGGGGATGGAAAGCCTTCCTCCTTATGCAGCGGTCAGGGGTAGGAGAACTAGAATGAACGCTGGAGGATCTTTCCACCAGAAGGGCTCAAGACCAGGAGTGCTGCTGGGTTTCACTAGCAGAGGTGGAAGATGACAACAGCAACATCCCCGGGGCAAGGGCAAAAAAAAGGAGAAAGAGATGAGCTCTGCTCTGAAAGGCTGCAAACCACTGTTTGCTGCAGCAGGGTGGCCGGGAAGCCTCTGAACCCGTGATTTGCAGGGACATTTAATGACAAGGCTTTATAGGCAGCTGTTATTAAAGCTTGTCCCCTGGCTACAGAGCAGCTTTCCCCCCGCCCCATGCACGGAGCCTCTTGAGCATTTTACCCCGCCCGAGGAGAGCTGCCTGTACGAGGGTTCGACGAGAAAACCACACGCGAAGGTGAGCGGACAAAGCGTGAGGGCAAGGCGAGAAGTGGCCCACGCAGGAGGGCGAGCACAGCAGGAAGGGCGGGCAGGAACAGCCTGCCAGGGGTTCTCAGAATAAAAACCCACCATGGTGGGGCTAAAGCCTCAGCCTGGGACCGACTGCAGCTGGTACCGCCGCCGAGCACCCCTCGGACAGGGGGAGAACAAAGCAAGGTGACATCAAGAGATCACTTCTCATTTCCTAGGGAAACAGGCTTCATTTTGGGAAGAGCTGACAGCTACGAATGAGGGCTCTTGCTGCACATCGCATCTCCGAGTCCAGTCTTGCAAAGCAAGGCTTGAGGACAGGCACAGGCAGCTCCTGCATTCCCCGGATTTTCAGAGTTATAGAAAGAAGTCGCTGCTTGAGGCACTTGCAGTCAAATGCAGCTTCTAGAGCCTCTTGCAGAACCTCAACACGAGAGCAAGGACACGCTGCTGCTGCTGCTCCCTCTCTTCTGTGCCCAGAGCAGTTCTGGGACCCTGAGATCAGACAGGTCCCCAGCCACCGGCCTCCGCCGGCAGCAGCAGCCCCAGAACCACCCGTGGCTCTTACCTCTGTAGTGCTCCATCCTGGTGTGATGGGTGATGCCCTGCGACCGAAAGCTGAGGCTCAGGATGTAACGGGGGTCAGAACTGTCTCGGACCAGGAAGGACCCATCGGGCTTCCCCTTCAGCTTCATCTCTGCATCCTCCCAGTTCATCGGTCCCCAGTACCACCCGCACTAGGAAAAAAAGAGACAGCCAGGATGTCAGCAGGTGCTAAGCAAGAGAGATTTTATCAGCAACCAAACAAGATACAATTTGCTCGTGTTGTTCATGCCCTTTATATGCCAAAATGGAAGGGCCTGGTTGTACCCACCCAGGAATACGGACGGTTGGGACTCGCTGCTCCTGGGTGAGAGCGCACCATCACATCCCCTACCACCCAGAAGCGGTGAAAGAGCAGCTGAGACTCCAACACCCCTTCTGTGCACAACAAAACGCCTTTTGAGACCTCGCTGGGAGAAAGGCGGGAGGTGGTTGGGTTTTTCCCCCCCCCAGTCCTAACTAATCTTATGCTCCCAGCTCTGTAAAAGGGATGACCAGTTCCTGAAACCAGAGCCTAGACCCGCGGTTTTGTCCTTCTCGCTGCTGCCACCCCGTTACCTTCTCCAGCTCCCGCAAGCTGGCTGCAAAGCTGCTGGAGTCCGGGCGGTAGAGCGGACACTGGAGGTGCGGGGCGGGCTGGCCGGGCATCGCCTCCATCGGCCTCAGCGGGACGATCCGTGGGAAGGCGTCTGCAGGGGGAGAGACAGCCCGGGGCCGTGGTCACCCACGGGGAGCTCACCCCAAGGAGGAGTCGCCCCGTCCCTCCCGCGGGGCTCTAGAGGTTAGGGCAGGAGGGGCAGAGCTGCAGCGTGGAGGAGGAAGCCGGGCTGAGCGATGGAAGGACAACGTGCTTGTGAAGGACACGGCGGGAGTCACTACCTGGCTCTTCCAAGGTGACAACTCCGTGCCTTCACCTTAGGCTAGCTCGGAGGGAAGGCAAGGGAAGCGCCAGGCAGCACGGAATAGAAGGAATGAGCACCCATCCCGAAAAAAGGGGCACTTAAAGCCCTCGGGGTCCTGAAGGAAACCATAAGGAAAAGGGTAAACGCAAGGGAATCATCCTGGTGGGCCGTTCAGCTGGACGGAACAAAGCTGGGGCTCCTGCACTGAACCCCGCTCCCACGGCTCTTGTCCAGCATCGCTGATGCTCATTCACACGTTATCTGACACAGCACAAAGGGGCGGGG